TTAGGTCTAACAATTCTTCCAGGGTTCTTTCCTTGTCTGAAAAAATACATGAATTTCTTTCTATCCACAGTGACCAACACATGGCTGCCCTAATACTCCTCCACATAATCTTCCCTCGCTTCTTAGGCCATCCGAAAAATGAAGGAGAGAGCAAACTTTGGACACTCTCGGGAGGATTCCAAGAACACCCAAAGCGGGAAAAAACCCACTCCTATACAGTTTTAGTAACCTTACAAGAGACCATGAGGTGGTAACCGGATTCCAAGAGAACATCTGTTAGGAAGTAGACAATAGTTGGGTCTCCTTCTCTGAAGTAAATCAATTGTGTTTATTCTTTCTAGGAAAATTTCCCAACAAAAAAACCAACCCGAGGAGGAATAGGCTTGCTCCAAATTTCCTTAGCCAGAAAGGACAACCCAATGGGGACAGAGGGCTGAGTTAAGGTTTCAAAGAACAAAGCACAAGAGAAAGTACCTAAGGTGGAAGGGGTCCAAATTCTGGTGTCTTCCTTATTAGGATCTAAGAAAACATTCTCAAGGATGGCTAGCAAAGGTAAAATGTTGTCCAGGTCCGTATCCCTAATTACCCTTTGTAGGCCTAGGTTCCACCCAAAACCAGAAGTGGAGTTTGAAGGACCCAAGAAAGAAGAGATAGGTTCATTTTTCAAGTCTGACAGAGCGTACAGGGAAGGAAACTAGTCCTTCAGATGTGAATCCCTAACCCAAAGTTGTTCCCAGAACTTTATTCGGTTACCAGAGTTTAGACCATACCTGATCCAAGGGGAAAAAGCTGGAAGCAGATTGTGAATGGATTTCCAAGGAGCAGCAGCTGTAGCCCTTGCCACGATTCCAGGATCCCAACCATTGTCTTCCAGCCCATGTATGATAGCCACAATCTTAGTCCACGATTTATCCCTTTCAATTGTATACCTCTACAACCATTTTCCCAGCAAAGACATAATCACTTTGTTCGAGACATGTTTCTTGTAGGGTCTATTTCTCTTCCTCATGTGGCCTCAGATATGCAAATTGCAGACATTTTAACCAAGACCATGACAAGGGCAAGACATCTATTTCTTGTGGGCAAACTGATGCTTATGCCTTCGCATCAATTTGAGGGGGAGTGTGGAAAGTATTAATGTATTATGATATTATAGCCCCTGTTGTATTGTATCTTCTATTACTTCATTTTTTCTCTATTAGCCCCATAAAGGCTTTCTTGTAATCCTTGTGGCCCATAAGGGCTTTCTTGTAAATTCCTTGAGCTCATACAGGCTTTCTTGTAAATATTCATAATATTAAGGCTCTTTGGGGGTGGGGTCGAATTCATTCTTTGACACCCTTGAAACCTGGTGTTAGACTCTCTACTATTCATCTTGTTGACACCTTCCACCATAACCAGGGAGGCATTCAGATTTAACACCTCCCTAAGACTCCACCAGTAGTACTTGGAACTTTGCTTCTACAGCTTCTGCCACATCAATGGGGCCACTGAAAGCCCAAACTAGATCGCCAGAAGAATTTAGAATTCTACCCTCAATACCTATCTGACATCTATGATTAGAAAGACTGGTGCAACTACCATCAAACTGAAAAATGTATTCAGTTGGAGGTCTTGGGAGAAGAGTAGGTTTTGTAGAGATTGTCAAGGGTGACAAATTCAAGATCTTCTCAAGGTTTTTTTCTAAGTTACCTACATAAGCCACTTCTGAACAGCTTAGAGGCTCTCAACCACAAGTTAACTATAGCACTGATTTTGCCTTTTAAATCTTCTATAGAAGTGATTTGTTTACAAAGACTGCTACCACACAGTTAATGAGCAAATGTCCACAGGATTCATCATCATTCATACACATCACACACACAAGGAGCAATGTAGAGGAACCCTTTCCTTTTCCTCAGAAGCCTATCACAGGTATTAATACTACCATGGGAAGCCTCCCAGACAAAACAACAAACTCTAGGAGTAACTGCTGATAGCCAAATCTTCTTATGGGGGAAGGAGTTAACTAAGCCTTGCACTAGCTTAAGGAAAAAAGTGTTCATAGTAAACACATCAAAAGAAGAAGGCCACCAAATTCTCTAATCATTGGTCAGAGGGGCAAGGAAAATAGAGGAGAGAGAAGACAGAAGAGAGGACATATAATCAGTTTCTTCATCAGATAAAGCTCTACGGAAGTTGAAGTTGAAAAAGAGGTCATGCTCCCCTCTAGAAATAACCAAGGAGATAGTGCCCTCTTTAAAAAAGGAAATTCTGAAAAGGAGAGGGTAAGAAGTGTGGAGTAGGGGTGCTCATAAAAAGACGAAAAACCAACCAAACCAAACCGAGAAAACTGAAACGAAAAATATGGTTAACCAAACCAATTGGTTCAGTTCAGTATTTTCGATAAACCAAAGGACTGGTTCGATTTTCAATTAACCTAGAAAAAAAATTCGGCAATTAACCGAACTGACCAGTATATATATTTTTATGTACATTATATATTTTTAATATATATCATATATTATTTATATATAATATATAAATGTATATGCATTATGTATCATCATCATCATCCATGCCTTATTTCCAACTATATGGGGTCGGCTACATGAATCCTATTTCGCCAATCTGTTCTATTTAAAGTCATATCCACTGCTAAATTATTAGTACTTAAATCATTTCTTACTACTTCTACCCATGTCCTTTTTGGTCTACCCCGAGCTCTTCTCACCCCTTCAATGTGTAACAAATCACTTCTTCTAACTAGCACAATTGGTGCTCTTCTATGCACGTGCCCAAACCATCTTAGTCTATACTCTCTCATTTTATCACTTATTGGAGCTACTCTTAGGTTCCTACGGATAACTTAATTCCTAATCCTATCCTTTCTTGTTTATTCACTCATCCGTCACAGCATTCACATTTCTGCCACATTCATTTTCTAGACATGTTGCTTCTTAACTGCCCAGCACTCTACTCCATACAACATAGTTGGCCTTACAACTAACTATTTTATAGAAGTTTCCATTTAATCTAACTGGTATTCACCAATGTTTTAAAATGCAGAAGAGTGACGTGAGGCGTTCCACTACCCAAAGGCGTGAGGCGTAGTTCAGACGTACAAGGCGTAAGCCTCCTTAAGAGGAGGGGGATGAGGAGGAGGAAGAAAAGGATGGAGGATCTCATTTTTCTTTATTTTTAATAAAACTATTGTATATTAAGAAGAATGAAGATGCATAACACTAGCTAAAAGAGGGGGGGTCTTTTCTTTCCCCTTCTCTTTCCTTTCCTTCCCTTCCTTCCCTTTTCATTTCTTTTCTTTTTTCTTCTCTTTTTTTCTTCTCTTTCTTTCTTTCCTTTTCCCTTCCCTTTCTTTTCCTTTCCTTTCTTTTTTCTTTTTTTCTTTTTTTGTCTTTCTGTACAAGGCGTGTGTGTGTGTGTGTGAGGTGCACGAAGTGTACGCCTCTAGCACACCTCATGAAAAAGGCATATGAGATGTACACATTAGAGGCATCAACGCCTTTGGCATATACCTCAAGGTGTTTTGGGGGGCGCCCTGAGGAGGAGGTTGGATTCAAAGTTGATTATAAGCTGGTTGCAAAAGGAGGAGGAGGCTGGTTGGTGGGATTATATTAATGAAAAAAGAAGGTTTAAGTGGATGTCACAGGGAATGGAAGTTAACCTGCAGTGGGTGAAAAGAGATGCTAACTCCTTTGTTGATGCATTGGCTAAACAAGAGATGGGAAGGAATCATCTTTTTTGGGCTATGTTGTAAACATGCAATTCTATTTTGGTGAGTGTTAAGAGAGTTTATCTTCTCTTCTTAACTTTGTACCTCTTTGGTTTAATTTTAATGAATTCATTTCAATTATTGATCAAAGAAAACTACATTAGAAATGCTGATCAAAAAAAACTACATTAGTATGCAATGTATATTTAATAATAAGAGTGAAAACCAAGGTACCCTTAAAATTGGAGACCAAGAGATAACTCAATTTGGCGCCTTCCATTACAAAGATTCAATAATTCATAACAAAGGAGAGACTGAGGAGGGTCCCGCCCATTGAATTAGAGTAGGATGGGCAAACTAGAGGGGTACATCTAAAGTCTTATGTCATTGGCAAGTACCACTTTGCCTAATGGGAAACTTCTATAAACAGTTTTAAGGCCAGTTATGCTTTATAGAGCAAAGTGTGGACAGTTAAGAAACAGCATGTCTAAAACAAATGAGCGTAGCAAATATGTGAATGCTTAGATGTATGAGTGGTAAAATTAGAAAGGACAGATTTAGAAATGAAGTCATACAAAGAAACCTAGGAGTATCTCCCATAGGTAAAGATTGAGATGGTATGGCCACATGCATAGAAGACCATCTACAGCACCATGATCTATTACAAGTTGAAGGGGCTAGAAGAGCTAGGAGCAGACTGAAAATGACTTGGGTGGAACATCGGAAGTAATAAGAAACGATTTAAGCACCTATAATTTAATGATGGATATGGCACTGAACAGAAGGGAATGGAAAAACAGGATTGCCGACCCCATATAGTTGGGACAAAGCTTAGATTATGATGATTCTGCAACAAGTACATAATTAAAAATCATCACCAAAATATTAATGAAGATCAAAATGACTTCAATTATTGAAATCTTCAAATTACTTCACCTCTAATTTTACTATAATACTAGTGAGGTTTGCATTTAAAATAGTGTTTTTGTGCATTTAAATGCCCTAAAAGTATATAATTTGGCCATGTGGGAATGTCATCGCAAAGGAATCCATTTCTGACTTCGTCACACATTCAAGGAGCGATAGACAGTTTATCATATTCTCATCTCCCATCCTTAAATCATATTTCTCAAGAGAAACAAGCTTGGTATGCAAACGACCAGAACTATTGCTTACTATATCCTCCGTGTTGTGGAAAAGCAAAGACAAGTGGAACTTAAAGAAAAACACCAACTAATCACAACAAAAGTTGGAAGAACAAAAAGACGAATCCCTGGAAAGAACTAACCGTAAGCAGACATAACAATAGATAGAACAGACCCGCGATGGGCATGCCATGCGAGACTTTCCCTGAAAGAAGTCCCATCCAAGGACTGATCCATCTTCCACGACCTAATCTTCCCATCCTTGTGCCCCGTCCAAATCAGCCTATTTCCCTCATCCACAGCCATACACATCGTCGCAGACGTCTGATCCGACTCATGGAACGGCGCTGCATCTTCGTCCCCTCTGCGAGCCCTTCCCCTAATTCCGTACCAGGTCGTATACATATCAGAGAAACTCCAAAACCTTACACCATCTTCCTGCCCAGCCCACAACTGAGTCTCAGTACACACAATTGTCCTTAAGAAGCACCCCACTTGTGTTTCCCTCAACGGGTGAGGCCTCAATTCCAAGCTCGGCGGGCGATTGGGATGCATCGCGGCACGAAGTGGCACCTTAAAGATCCCATTCCCTCCACCACTGCCTATAAACTCCGGCAACGATCGTCGCTGCTCGTCTGAACCATCCGACAGCTTCTGCTCCAAAAAATGGCTGACATACTCCCGCTCGCTGGCACTAGCAATACCACCAAACCGCCTGCCATTGCCGCCACCACCACCGGAGGGATAGAATTCATCATCAGAGGAGTCGTAGTATCTGTTGACGTCTTTAGGATATCGCACTTCTTCAAGACTGTGCTTTCTCATTAGTTGAGGCCTTTCGTGTCTAGGTACGCCTAGTTGTTGACTGTAGCAATGCATTTTCCGATGGGGAGGAACCGTGCTTAGAGATGTTAACTTGTCCCCGTCGTCGTCCTCGATTCGTTCCTCCATGATCGACGACTCTCCGACCTTCCGAGGTCGAACCAGAGAGAGATTCTGGGTTTTTCCGATCGGATCGAGGTGTTTTTTGTCTCCGGAGAGCAAGGCGCGGCTTATTGAGAGCTGACGGACGAGAACCTCTTCTCTCAGCTTTCGCTTCCTTAATAAACGTTGTTTTTAGCCTATATTATTATTATTATTTTTATTATTTTATTTCATATCTAATGCTTTTCGTTATGAAGTTGATCTGCATCGTCGTCAATAGACGCTTGCTGTCAAAGATGCACGCTTGTACAGAATGCCACGTTTACGACGATTTTCTAAGAATACTGTGGAGATTATGTTGATCGAACGGTCATAAAAGTTCGTTTGGTCAAAGATGAACTCTATTCTAATGAGGCCACGTTGCATTTTGTAGGTAGAGAGTTAGGCACGATGGTGTAATCCTGTCTCTGTTCCGAAGGACAACCTCAGTGAAAGTGGTTTCTCTGACCGTCGAATTGGAATAAGTGTGATGTGAGTTATTCTTATTGAACGTTTCGCAGAGGATGCCTTGCATGAGGCCAGAAATCGTTGACTTAATTATTCACTTCTTCGTTGGCGGGGATCTCTTGGTTCGTTCGTCTCTACCTCAACGGATCTGTATAACCAATTACAAGTGAACACGTCAGATTCCGTACACCAGTTCCCACGTCAAAATTCTCCGCTATCCAATCTCGGGTGTACTCGAGAATCGAGGAGAAGTGATAAAGTGTGCATACGCGAATATATTGTTGGAGGATTTTTTTTTTGAAAGAGGTTGTTAGAGGAAGTTAAATTAACAATCTGATTTCAGTGTAGCCGTTCTGTCCATTCGCTTGGTTCCTTTCTTTCTTTCAGCATGTTTATTAGCTTGAGATAGTCGCTATATATAGTGACACTGAGTAGTTTCACTGATTGTTAGCAGCTGCTTCTAAACCTTTCTAGAGAGCTCTTATTTCAGCTTCATAAGTTGATGCGGCCCACAACTGTTTTCCTTCTGCAAGAACTTCCCCTGATTCGAGTTGGTGGATGAATGCTTCTCCTGCATTACCGTAAGAGCCATCAATGTATAATGTACACAAGGTAGCATGATTTGTTGTTTGGTTTACGATTACATTTCGATTTGGCTGACTGAATGGGAAGTGAAGTAGAACTTTCCTTTATTCATTGTCATTTATGGAGAAATAAGATCTTTTTCAAATAGCAGTTTATTTCTTGCTTTTCATATCACTAGTAAACGTGCACGTGCAAATGCACGTGATACTGTGATTGCTTCAAATGACAACAATAATAGCAAAAAAATAAGAACAATAATTATAATAATAGAAGCATACTGTGTACCGATGAAACCAATGATCTATTTGACCAAGTCAATAGGCTATGGATGATACATTTACTTTCTTTTCTTTTGTCTTCTTCTTATGTTCATCATTAATCACAACAATTCTCAATTTTTAACATATTTTTGTTTAATAATGATGAATATATAATATTAAAGACATGTTTAATACCCATGGTCAAATCAACCAATCACACCAATATTTTGGGTCCATTTATCATCAAATTACTTGCTCATAAAAAGCCATTAGCTTGGTTGATAATATGGTGACCCAACTATTTGAATTGTTTAACTATTCGAAAAAGTACGGACAGGCCCAATGCAAATATCTGAATTCCACGATAGATCTATAAACATTCAAAATGTCGAAAAAACCCCACTCTATACACCAATGCCTGCCTGTGAATTGGCATCAATTCCGAGCCGGCACCTACCCTAACTGTACTTTGGGCCTAAAAATTCTGACCCTGCGCTGAACCGTCATTCTCCCTTAACTATTTGACCTACTTGATGGGGTAACAAGTCAAATATTAATTTTCTTTTTCATTTATTTTTCTATTTTATTTTCATCATTAATAAAAATATTTTTTATTTATCATATTTATATTCTTGATATGATGAATACATAATATTAGATATGTACCCATATTTTTCTATATAATTTCTTTTTATTTATGATCTATTGCATTTCTATTTACTTTATAAACTTTTATTAGTTAATTATAACATTATGGAATAACCCGCATGACGTAGGTGGTTTGAAATGTCCCACCACTTCCATAAATGGTAAAACCAGATTACTTTTGGGTCAATTTTAGTGTATTCCACTATCATTATTAGTACAAAAAAATCATATTTTTTCACACATATTTTTGTTTCCAATTAGGAAAGATAGTTCTGCACTTAGATTACATCCCAATGGGTGGGATAACAACCTCCGCATGAATAAAGTTCGAGCTCATTCAATCTAGAAAGGTATAACTAAAATCTATCAATTGGTTTTTAACCGCATCAAATACTTAGTAGGTAATGGGTCCCAAGTTAAAGTTCAGATAGATATGTGGTGAGGCATAGTAGTCCTTTAGCCTTACAATTCCTTTATCATTTTCATCTTCCGCTCAACCCTGAAAGCATGATTTTAAGCTTTATGTCAAATTCCAACTAAATTGTCTCTTGGACCTTTAGTTGGTGTTGAACCCTTAGAGACCATGAAAATTTGGACTTTTATCACTTAAAGTCCTTACTTTCTGATGTTTGCATCTCACTCAATCAGTTAGATCGGAGTGCTCATACTTCAAAAAATCATTTATGTGTATTGCGATGTGAGTAAAAATGTCTAGCTTTTATTTCTTCTTTTCAATTTGAATTGAATTAGTTTGAATCATGTTTGCAATCTAATTTTCCAATGGAGGCATGGAGGCTTAGAAAAGAGAGGGAAATTATATTAGAATTTTGTTCCTCAAGCTATCATGTGGTCCATTTGGGAGGACTGCAACCTATACATTTTTGAGAAAAAGAATAGATCTTTTGAGGAGATTCTTGAGCACATAGTGAGTCATTGTAATTTTTGGGCTTCCAATAGTAAGAAGTTCATGGGAATTAGTGTGGAAGATATAAAAAGGAACCTAGTTGTTGTAGTTAGTAGACAACCCTCACTTGACACAAATGGCATCGTTCTCAGATTGATGGTAGGTCCTTGGGTAACCCTAGATTAGCTGGTGTAGGGGGAGTTTTTTTTTTTTTTTTTTTTGCCAATTAGAGGTTTGGGCTTTTAGAGGGCCTATTAGGACTACAAGTTCCATGAAGGTAGAGATCCTAGCCTTGTTCATCGGTCTTCAAATAGCTAAACTACTAAGGTTAAAGTTCATTTATGATTAAAGGAGATTTTGCAAATACAATTAGGTGGTTAGCTTCCAAGGTCCCATGTAAGCATTTATTCAACTAGGCTAGGGACCAAGGTGTAGATATTTGACTTCCTAGAGATGGATCTTGAGGGAATTTAACAAAGCAGCTCACTCATTGGCAAATTTTGGTCTTTTTAGAGAACATTTTTTTCTAACTATGCATGTCTACCTTTAGTTTAAAGGGTTGCTTTTTGTTTGTTCATCATCCCTATTTTCTTAATTACTATAGCTTATTATCATCCTTCCTTCATAAAAAAAATGAGAGATGTACTCTCATGTTTTTTTACAAAATATACATACATTATATTTTTTTTGTATTTCTATCTTTTTCAATTTTACTTGACATGTAGGATTTCCTATTTGGTTTAAAAGGTTGGATTGTTATCTTGCCATCAAGAGGAGAATTCGGTTTAATTCTTAGACCAATTTTAAATTTTCTATTTCATCTATATCATTAATAAAAATAATTAGTGTTTATCACACTTATCTTTGTTTAATATGACTAATATATAATATTAGAGATATGTATTTAAATGTCAAGACTTTCGAGTAATAAGTATCCCAATCAATTGTAGTCTACCAAGCTATTAAATGAAAGATTTTAAGTGCATAAAGATAGGAAACTTCAATTTGAAGCTCCTTCATTTTCAACCATGTTGGACTTCCTTAAGCTTTATGGGACATGGGTCTTTTTGGTTTCCCATCTTTCATTGTCAAATGGAAAATGATTGTTTTGTGGTCTACCGATCTTTGAAACACTCAAAAGATCTTCTACAAAGACTTGCTAGATAGACCCTAAATCTTCATGCATAATTACCCTAAGGGTATCAAATCTATTATGATGAGCATGGAGTTTTTAGTTATTCATAAATATGTTGAGATTTTTTAAAAGCCCTTTAGTGATCCTTTCTAGGGTTATTTTGATATTTGTTGAATGCACTAATAAAATAAGCAAAATGACTTAATTGGGCTTGGATCAGATTAGCCTTAATTGGGCTTTGGGTCAAGTTCAGATTGGACCAAATCTACACCTACCCAACCCATCAATAGTGATGATCAAGAGTCAAGTCAAGTTTTACAAGTAGTTAATAGCCTTGAGGCCTGCCTAGGCCTAATAATACATATCCAAGTTCGGTCCCAGCATCCGGGTTGGCCCATATGAATATATAGGACTTGTATTTTAAAACAAATGAAATTTACTTTACTTTATAGTCAAATTATAGGAAATAAGCTTAGAAAATTGCATAAAATATATTTGAAAATTTGTGGTGTGCATATTAACATATTACAGCATATATACATTATGATTATCATAAATATTATCATATTATCATATTATCATATTAATATATACATATATGATTATCATATTAATATATTGTACCATATATACATATATTTGGTAAAATACTATGCCATATAAGAAAAATACTATATGATTATCATAAAAAATGTAAGATACTATACAAATAAATAAGGCATTATACCAATATTATAGTATATATTATAAATATACAAACAACTTTTGCGATGGGTTGGGTTTGTCAACATAGGGCTTGCTTTGCCCGGACCCTACCTACATTGATGTGAGTCTAATTTAGACTAGGCTTTAGAGAAATTTAATTGCCTAGGCTTAAGAATTTGCAAACCAAGTAGGTCGGGCTGAGCTAAACTACAATTGGCCATCCCTACCCATCAAAGTATCCCTAATCCCATGTTTATAAAGCTAAGCATATCCCTAAAATTAGAGTGAATAGTGTCGATTCATAGAAACAAATAAGCATTGAAATGTGTCATTGTAATGTATCTTATAAAAAAATGGATGATCTTTTTGAAAGATATAGAAATGGGTGACTGGAATAATTCTACAAGTGTACACGTCATTTTCCAATTT